TCAGGTTATTTTTGGCTGAATACTTAGTACTGTTTCAAAAACTTATTCAGTCGAACCCCCTTGCTACTTTCCAGAGAAAACTAAACTTAAGATATCTTCTTCTACTTGTGTTGTTGAGTTTTTGTCTCACTCGTTGGCGTGGGCCGCTCTTCTGATATGCTGACGGCACATCTCCTGATTGAATGCCTGGTCGGGATGAATTCCGGCTGTTTTCAAGTCTGCATGCGGGTCTAGCGTAGTTCGACAAATTCTTCAGGGCGCTTCCCGGGCACCACGTGCCATGTCTTACGGTCAATGTCAGTCTTTTCGCGCGAAGTACATCGCTATGTCGGACTACGACATGTACTGTCAAAGATTGCAGTAGCCGCATCACAAATCCTTGAGAGCATTAGGAATGCTTTGAACAGTGTTCACTGTTTAATGAAGGCTTTGAGTACCATTTTGAAGCTTGTGAACCCTGTTTCAATATCGTCGCGATAAACCCCCAGTGAAGAAGTAAATGTCTGGTCTGTCACCCTTGGGATGGCTGCTGAAACCCTATACGTCTACCCCTTGCGTTCCAGAATTGAAATCGCGATGTATGCCCGCTCTCGTAGATGCCGCACCTAACCTTAGTTGACGAAAACAAATTGGATGAATGAAGCCAAAGCATTGAAACGTAAGAGAGACTTCTATTGTCTCTGATCCGAAAGATCTGTGAATAAATGAAATGTAAGCAGTTGGAATATGAGCTAACTGGCAGTTTAGTGAGACGCGCAGGATACTTTGCTCAGGTCCACTTTATTCCGGATGGACTTACCGTGAGGTGGTCACCCTCCACGGTTCTGAGAACCACTGATTATCCGTATCAACTTTCAGTCAATCACCATAATCATCGCTTTTTGGTTAGTTGAATATTGCGGAATTTCATGAATTACGACTGGTACACTTTCAACCTTTAGATGGAACTCGTAGCTCAAATGGGAATAGTAAGGAATTAAAGCTAGAGCTTCCAACTGAGTAATCCTTCTTGGGTTGTGGCACGCACTTTGCTACCGTCAGTAGCAGTGCGCACAGTCTTATTCGCGGAGGACGTAAGGGCGTTGCAGGAGTGGGCGCGGGGGCGCGTGAGTTTGCATTGCGCCTGTCTGCTATCTTAAACCAGGTTGTGGGAAGCTTAGCAGGAAGACCTCGTGGCCAAGGAAGCTGGATCGTCCAACATCTGTCCCCCGAAGGCTTATTAGGCGTTGGTCTGCTCACTTTTCGGCCAACACTTTCGTCAACATAAATATGTGGCCTTGCTAACGCTTTACAAGGGAATGGTTTGAACTTCCCATGGAACTTTGAATGGAGACCTAGGTACATCGATAGAGCCTCGAATGCTGATTACGAATATGCAGATTAAAAGTGCTACGGGGACCTCCCAGACGAGATCTGGGTGGTCAAAGTTTGAGTTCTGGCTCGTAAGCGCTGCTGATCGATGCTTCGGCAGTGCCACCGTGGCCTCGTGGTAATGGTCTCGCTTTCAAGTCAAACGCATGCGGGTTTGCATCCGGTTGGCGCGAAAATTTTTGCTTCGCTCCCTAGAGCTTCAACTCTAATTTTCGAAATTCTTCCGAATTTACGGCCCAGCAGGGCAAGTAGATCAAGTACATCAAGTATATGACGTACTCGATCTAGTATGGATTTAATCATATCTGCCCTCTCTGAACATATTACCCATCCGACAATTCAAAGTTTTGCCCAGAATCGAAATTTGGCCAGACGAGCGTTTTTTCGTCGAAGGATGTGATATTCGTGTTCAGGGGGTCGAAATCTCCCATGAACGAACTTCTCGCTACAACTTTGAATTGTCGGATGGTAATTATCGTTCAGAGAAGCCAGATACTGACCCACATCCGTACGTCGTATACTTGACGTACTTCATACTACTTGCCCTGTTGGGCCGTAGATTCGGAAGAATTTCGAAAATTAGAGTTGAAGCTTTTATAGCAAAAATATTGCCGCGCCAACCGAGGATGCAAATCCGCATGCGTTTTTTGAAAGCAAACCATTACCACGAGCACGGGCTGGCCACTGGGCCGAAAGCATCGCATCAGCAGCGCCTACGAGCAGAACTCACGACTTTGACCACCAGATTCTTTCGGTCTGGGAGGTCCCCGTAGCACTTTAATCTGCATATTCGTAATCAGCATTCGAGGCTCTATCGATGTACCTAGGTCTCCATTCAAAGTTCCATGGGAAGTTCAAACCATTCCCTTGTTAGTATTTGCATTGTCCCTGCCATGATCCCGAGATAATACTTAGGACCCTTCTAGGAGAAATTCGCAGGAAATCGCTTCATTCTGAGCGGACGACAAAGGGCATCCTTCGAGATATTAGACCCTTTGTGCATTTCACCTAGTCATGTTATAATCGTCTGCTGGAAGTCGCCCCAGAAAAAAACAACAAAGGCCGCCACATGATCCGCGTCTTAGAGCTTCATCATGCTTACTTTCGCGTGTGAGACATACACACAAAAAAAACACATTTAACATAAATGTGAACAGCTCTACATGAGCGCGCTGGGATTAGGCCCTCAACTGCTTTGCAGAGCATCTCAAAATACGCCCCGCTCACACAAAAAACTTGCTGATCTTTGGAAGTATTCTTGCACTCGTGGAGAACTCCGGCACTAGTTTACCGACTTATCAGGAGCAAGTAGTCTGAAGATACCATCCTACTGGCCATATAAGAACAAACAGAGTGTTGGTTCTAGTGCAAGCAAGCTCACCAGTAGAAGAGTCCGCGATTTTGAGAAATATTCGAGAAGGAAGTGGCACGCATGGTGGTCCCGTTTTTTATTGCCTTCAGTTCATGGGACCCTCGATTTCTGTGTATTTGCGGCGAGTCCAGCATTGACTACGTCACGATTCAATTGCATAGTGATGACGAGGAATAGTGAGGGTTCAGTCGCCATTGGTGACTCATTGCTTACCCAGTCCGTTCTTCGATCTTCGTCATCCCTTGGGCGCTAGCCGTTTCGCATTGCTAATTTCGACTCATTAAGTCAGTGCACAATGTACCTTGACGGGAAACACTGAATCATATGAGCCCACGCTCTAGTTAATCAAGCTGTAGAGATAATCAAACAAAGTTTTTTTTAAAGGAAAAAAACGCTTTAGAAACTCATGCGTAAAGGACAAACGTCAGGCGTAAGTCAATCCATTTAGGATGAGAGCACACAAGTCTTAAATCAAGCCATTGCTTTGATATCCCTCGGAAATATAATAGTCGTAGCTCTACTCCCACTGGGACCTCCGTGGCAGTCTGTTCCCTTTCCCCCAAGATCCCTAGTTCATCAGAGAACACCAGGCGAACTGATTGTGTGCATTTGCGGGGTAGCCTGCTCATCAACCTATAGAAAAAGTACGGGCTCTAACTCAATTCATAGAGCCTAATGTACTCACCACTCTACTACTTAGCCACGAATCAGCGGGTGTGGTCTTCCCCTGAGACTTTAAAGAATTTGGCAATCGGTTCGTATAAGATTTAGATGTATAGAAGCAGGTTTTTGAAGAACACCCTACAATCGATGTTTCTCACAGTAGGGTATTATTTCACTCTGCACGCTTGCTAGTGATATGCTTGCAGATTACCGGCAAAATCGGGTTAGCAGAGATGTTTGTTTTTCGCTACCGAGTTTTGCTAGTGCCAGTTGCTGGGGAAACAGAAGAGTTTCCTCAGTAATGTGAGTCCTAACTCCGCATTATTATTGGTTTTAGCTCTAGGAACAATGGTCATGAGAACGAGATGTCATTCTGGTACCATTAGCATTACGGCTTCAAAAGTTTCCAGAACAAGGGTGAGCCACGATTGCGATTTGGGTAGCTCGTAAGGTATAGGAGTGTTCAGTACTTAGTTCGCCTCGAAGGTACCTCATCGGTAGAACCTCTACCTTGTACAAGAGGCACTTCTGCGACTCTACAGTGAGCGAAGAGGGGGCTGGGAACGTTATCCGCCACAGTAACCCCGCCCACCAGTTAACAGCCCCGCCACGGGACGCATGGCTTCAAATACTTAGCTTTACGTTACCGTGTTTATCTCAACGCCCAACCTTTTATTATTCATTCTGCCTGGCCTCTCGCCCACACTCACACTGTCTCCTTGCCTCTCGTCCAATGCTAAAAATTGACGCGAGGTCGGAAGCGCCTTACTGAGAGCGCTTTCGATGTATTCCTGCTCTCTCGAGGCCATACGCTTGTGTAAGTCCCCAGAAGGGGAGGGGGATCGCATTTGCTCGCTGGAGGGAATAGAGGGAAGGGAGGTCGTAGTTGCACATGGTGAAATGTTTTAGGGGAAAAACTGGAAAAATCTTGAAATTTCAGAAATTTTGAAGTTTTGAAAAGTGTGGTAAGAGTCCATATACATATTGGAGGATTTGGAAGGAGGGGCGGGGATAGTAGCAGAGGACAGAGTTGGGGTATCGTATCTCCCTTCTCCAGCGGCAGGACGTGCCCTGTGCTCTCTTCTCGAGTTCTTAGTCAGCCAGCATAACAAATTCACATTTGTACTTACCTCCGGAGCCGCCCTACTCGCGGAATCTTCATCAACTGGTTAACTATGGTTAAGAGTACGTCGAACAAATCACAAGTAGTAAACCATTTATTGCCATGGTAAAAGCAGCTATTAGAAAGTCTGTCCTATGTAAAGTTGTACAACCGCGATTATCTAGACCTGTATGGTTTACTTGTAAAACTACTGCCAATGTTGTTTAGATCATATGTATATTTACAGGGTTATAACCGTTGAATATGGGAGCGAAACGATTAGGTATATAATATGATGACAATGTAATGTTTGGCACGAAATTCGTCACAAAAAGCAATGGGTTCAGAGTAGTACTACTACTATGATGTAAACAATGTTAGTTGCTTTGGTTAAGTAAAGCCCAGGATGAGTTAGGCTATCAGGCATTCAAACTTTAACAGTGGAGGCCTTGATTGTCCTATCGCATAGTTTCTGGCATTCGCGATAGTTGGCAGAGACGATCTTGCGAACGATGTCCAGCTAAATGAGGGAAATCAATAACGATCAATGATGATGATATCGATGCGGATTTACCTGTTCCCGCGACACCTGCACTGGTGTGGTCAGCACCGTCCAGATGACCGTTTCCGAATAGGGAGGAGTGGTTAGAGATCCAAGATATGGTAACATAGTCACGCTCACCTAAAACGCATAAATCTGTGCCCTGTCACTCATTATAAATAAATTTTAGAATAACTATTTTTTAGCTTTCAAAACCAACAGGGGAAAACTTCTGGTAACAAATTACGGTTCACTTCTGTTGTATCGACGTAGAGCAAGCGAGCTATGATAATGACCGAGCATTATGCTAATATCCGGTTCGGCCTTTGAAAATGATATTTTTGCTACTGCAAACTCGATTGATGTGTATTCATCGGTCTGCAGAGAGCCACAGCGACCTTCCCTCCGTATAGGGAAGTAAAGCGGGGCGCTTCCAGCGATGACTGTGTATTCGTGCGCTTACCCTTCTGCCTATTTGCGTCTCTACCTCCCTGTCGTCTGTACTCTCGCAGAAGCCGCTGGCGCTCGCACATCATTGGAAACTCCCTTCTTGCCCCAAGGTGTAGACTGTACATATATAATTATCCTGTGTATTGCGTTAGGTCACCCTCATTAAAAGGACAATGGATAAGTAAATGTCTTCAATTTGTTTGTACTGGAGCAATTTTCAGATCTACATTTTTTAATGGCTGCATAAAGTTGAAAAGACTGTTAAAATGGCGCAAGGACTATGAATGCAATAGAGCAGTTCGGACAACCTGATGATACCCCAGATGGCTTCAATTTGGTTTTTTGACCGAAAATCGCCTGAAGAAACGGGATATTCCATATCGTCAGATTTCCATCGATTATCCCAAACAATCAGCTTTCTTCATTTGGTGCCCTTTATGTGCATTCTTTATGAGCGCATTAATGTGATGTTACAGTATGCAGATGAAGAAGGTGGCACAGACTTTTTCGACGATGACTTCAGACTTTCTGTTTTCTACGCTCATCATCTTCTCCTCGAACCAGAGCATCATCGAGTCGAGTTTCTAATTTCTACCAAATATACGGTCAAACAACCCCCCCCCTCCCCCAATTTCTTCCACGATTGTACATCCTCACCCAACCTGGGTGTCCTGGTAAAAGACTAGGGTACGTGTCCTCTCCTTAAAATCCTTAGCGGTTGTTGTGATTTTGTTGGGGCTGAAGATTTCCAGAAGAACTCGAATGCTTACCAGGAGGTGGAAGGAGCTGGTCGAGGGCAAAGTCCTTGGGCATATGAATTGCATGTTTGGCATCAATCGCTTTATGAATCACTTCGAACAGTGGCTGATAGTGGCTCGAATGATGTCCTTCCTAAAAAAAGAAAGGAAGTAGTAAGCCGATAGACTCTCTGATGAAGTGGAGAAGGAATGTTGTTGGCTAAGCTCCCATAAACCCCATTCACTCCCACATTCTTATCCCATTTCTCCGTGAGAATTAATTGCGTGAAATTCTGATTGAATCCCTTTGCAGCGTGCTATGCAAATTATGAGGCTAATTTCATATGCCTGAAATTCTCATTTAGTTTGAACAACGAAAATGAAATTCGATGTCCCATTTGTGTGCCTAGTTTCGCATTTCAAGTACTTTAGTAACTCAAAAGTGCACAAGAATGCACTCAAGGCTTAGTGCGGATTTGAAATCATGGTGAACCCTTTCCGCATTGAGCCTGCATACGGGACATGGCTAATGAGCATCGACTGGGGTAGTCTTTGACCTTTGAACGCAGTACGGCGGCCACTTCGCCTCGCCCTCTCTTTTGGGATCTCACCGACCAGCGGCCACCTGTTACAAAGGCAGCTTCCATCATGCGAATTGGACGGGGAGCTCTCGATTGTCTTCCTCCCACAAGGGTGATCTTTGAGCTAGGGTGGAACGGCCTCATTACCTTGACGAACACGGCGAGTACAGCAAGTCCATCGTCCTTCTCGGCAGCTTCACAGAACGATTCATACTTGGTATTCCAGAACACGAAGTGGACCTAAAGACATATGTCTGAGATAATATACATGTCCATAACACGATTTTACTATTATTCACGGTGGGAAAGGCCTTTTCAACACTACATCGGAACCCTCGGAATTCACCCGAAAGCGGGGAGATCACTATATTTGATGAAAAAAAACAATTAAGGTGATTATTAGTAAGTTCATCAAACCATCTCAAATTTTTAAAGAAGATGTTGGAGCGATATGTTCAGTGAGTTCTTGAAGGACAAATAATCCCATCACGAACCTCGCCACTCATCGCCTTTCCATTGAGTAGATGTTCCGAGCCGCAAGAGCCATCCTTGCTCCAGTGAGCATGAAACTGCGCCAGTTGGTACGTGCCAGGAAGATGGCTGGCCGAAAGCGCTGCAAAAAATTAACATATTTCAACCAAGCTCACCAAAACTAATTTTGAACTAGTCAGTAATCGGACTAGCATATTTCTATTGCTTACGATTATCAGTAGGAGATGGCTCTTCTGAAAAGCTTTACGAGAATCAGGCCCAGTTCTCACAAAACCGGAAACCGATGATTTATCCGCATATGGTTTTCAGAAGAAATTTCATTGGAGTTCCAAGAGAGACGAAATCGCAGCGGATTAACAGAGCAGGGAAACGGCCGGAAAACGGAAACGAAAAAACTAAAGTAAAAACTTTCAAGGAGAACAGACAGATTTCAGCACTCCTTCGTCTGATTATGACGTTTAGCAAGGGCGCCTACATTACCTGGGCACGCCGCCCTACGTAGAGGAATATTTAACGAGGGGTTCGTATTTGGTCGCTGGAGGGAAGGGGGCCGCATAAAAAGAAGATTTTTTGACAGTTGATTTTTCCTGCTTCATGGGCGCTGGTCGCATCGCACATCGTTGGGAGTATTTGCCTTTCAAAAAAATTGGCCGTGTTGCGAAAAACTTCGCGGTTTCACTGGTGCTAGACCCTCCCTCTACTGCAGAATTTTGGAGGAAACTGAAGAATCTTTGGGGAATTTCGGTAAAAGTGGTAGTAAGCTTGGAAAAGTTGGCAGGGGGATAGCCTGAAGTTTTTCCCAGCGGAAGGACGTGCCCTGTACATTGCACCTCCAGGTGGCCCCAGCCTTCTTCCCAAAGCATCAAAGATCGCTTTGCTTCCCGATTTCTTGTGAGATTTGTGGTACACAAGGGTCACGACGGAAAAATTTGGTCGGCTATTTTTTGTGGGCTGGGCGGGTGTGCCGAGCAAGGAAGTTGTAAGGCACAGCCAGAGTGTCTCTGTTCTGACATGTTTTTTGGAAGATTGAGCGATTTTCAATAATTTAAAAGGACAAACTTGTAGTGCACTTTCGTCCAACGTTCACTTTGAAACCGGTATCGCTACATACGACATCATGACAATCGCCAGCAGTGTAACTGATATTCAAAGAATCGGGCTGAAAACATCAAAGAACTCGACTTCCAATGACTTTTCACTTTTTTGTCAACAAAATCCTTATACAAGTTATGTTTTCACAAGAAGCCGTGGCATACATTTATGTGCGCGTCATCATAATGGATTAATGTTTACATTAGCAATTTTTCCCGAGGAAAAAATGCAAACCAAAGTGATCGATGGGAACCTTCCAGCTGTTCACTTCCGGATTCACTCACGTCGTTCAAAGATCACCTGGCGTGGCATACACAACCCGAAAGAGACGGCAAAATTGGCTTCAAGACGTGAAAATCACATTCACGCGCTTTTTCATCTACGCGTTGACGTAGTGTATGTAAAGCGGAGGCAATTCAACAAGGAAACTCATTATTGAAATGAGCTTTTCAGTACCCACCTTGCAATGCTCAGGATCGTGACAAACATCGTCGCTCTTGATGTCAATTGGTGATTGACGGCGATGTGTGATAGCTGTAAAATAGCCCATTAAAGTTGACATTGATTACATCACACTTCACCCATTCCATCAAACTCACATAATTCCTGAAGGGGATATTTCACTTCGCGTGAGACTTTCGCATTGCACTTCCTGGGTTTTTTCAAGATTTTCATTGATTTCGCAGGCTTTCCTCGTTTAGCGAGTTTAGGTGCAACTTTCACGACCAGGGTACGAGGTTGAAGGGTTCGCCGCGGCATCGACGACATTGGCGCTTCACTTTGCCAGTCGATTTGCTCGAGATTCTGCCCGATAACTCGAACGACTGGGACGCGATTCATAGCCAAATGTGAATAATGACGGCCGCGAAGGACTGACTTTAGCAGAAGTCGACTAGACCATTGTTGATGCCCACTTGAAGAGTAAAGTGCGCAGTCAAGAGCGAAGCTCTATAGATTCGGGCCCAACAGCATGGGGAAGAGGGAGTGAAGAACGACGACGTATGGAGTGTATGGGGGTGGCAGTTTAACGAAATATAAGCTAGTGATGCGAATCCGGGGAGATGTGAGGGAGCGAGGATGACGGGTGCCGCGACAGCAGCTGAGGAAGTGTCGTGCCCACTTTTCGCAGCTGAAACCTTAATTCTCCTTCAAACGCTTGTTACTCAAACTCGTCATCATCTGCTCTTTTTGTGTGCCCTTAATGGAGTAGGCAAGCGCTTGTCGTTATAGAATAATAAAAAGCCACTCACTCATTGCTCTGTAAC